TTGTGGGTTAGAGTGTGTTCAAATAATTTTTCATTTATAGCTGTCCTTATATTTGTTTAATTTCTATAATTACTAGAAGAAAATTGTATGTAAAATGGTAATAATATATTATAATTACATGATAAAATATCTAACTTATTTCCATATAGTTAGTAGAGTACAGTATACAGGTAATATTTTAAGGGTATCAAATTAAAAAGTTTACTGGGCGAAGCAGGTGCAGGTTGCTAGTTTATTATTGTAAAAATGTTAGAGACCCAACCCAGCTCGCAGTCTGTTGTACTAAACGCAAGCGTTGTATACTAGTACTAAAGCTAATCAAAAGATTTTTTAAAAGTAACATAAAATATTCATTTATAATTTACGTTTTCTGTGAAATACTAATTATATGAGATAATTTCATGTTTCAACCCAAAAGAAATACAGGCGATAGCATTTTTTTGAAACACATTGCAGATATTTTAAATTTGTATGTATGTATTTGTAGAGAGCGCAAGTTTTTTATGGGTCAACGCGCACGCCTTCAGTGCGACTGTTGAAAGCAGCACAGAAAATATTTTAATTTACTTTTCAACGTCTTGTATGACAAATATGCTTTGAATTTGTTTTATATTCGTTGCATATTATTTTTTGTTACTCTTTATTATTTTTTTCTCCTAATGATATGTGTTATTTTAATAGAAACATTCAAATGGGAATTTTAAAGATTTTAAACCTTACTGTATTTCATTTCCAGACTTATACTATTTCATCATTATAAATACACAAAAATATTATTTTAATAATTTTTCAAAGTTATTTTTCGTGTCTCTCATTCTCAGATTTATTTAGAGTGTAATCAATTTTTTTTAAGTACTACTGCCACTATAGAACTGAATATTTTAAGTCTTTAAAGAATTTACCACACTAAATTGATTTATGGATTGTTATCCAATTACAAACAAATATATATATATATATATATATATATATATATATAATAAAGAGGGATAACATAATAAAAATTCTTATATGAAATAACAAGTAATACAAAAAAAAAATTCGAGAATATTTCTTTTATTCACCAACATTATAATATATTCCCTCAATTGTGAACGTATTTGGCTTAAAATTGCCTTTTCTTTTGTACACAGTCCGCTTTCTTAGTATTTCCTTGGAGAGTGAATTAAATAAAAGTTTTTAAGAAACGACGTTATAAATCTATAAAACAAATATGAACTTTTTTGTAACTCATTGGAATCGGCGCCTTCGTAGATCAGTTGAATTGTTTCAGTTCCAAACTTAAATTTAGGTTGAGCTATAAATTTTATTAGACGCGTGTGGGATGTAGACACGTTCACTAGATCGAACAAGCCAGATAAAAGGATACGAGTTGATATTTACTAGTAAGCGCTTTTATAGAGTTTAATTAAAAATGATAAATTAAAATATTAGTGTTAAATTAAAACTTAACTTAAGATATATATACTTTATTAATAAAATAGATTAGATAAATTATATAATATATAAATTAATTTGACGAAATTATATATCTATTCGGGGCTAAGAATCAAAAATGCTGAATTTTCTTATATACGGTTCAATGGTTTGTGGTATTATATGGATTGAATGACTCTAAATATTTGAAGCTAAACTTAATTTTTGAATATTCTAGTAGGTACTATCCGTAAATGTAGGGGTTTTGTGAAATTCTTTTATTTAACTTATTTAAAAGATAATAGAAATTTTTCGAATATTTCTTTTGTCTTTAAAGTACAGAGTCAAAAAAGTTTTGTGGGGGATTTATATTCTGCCAATTTTCTTGGAAACTTTATGAGCAATTATATTTTTTTAGTCTATACATATAATAAAATTGTAACTAAGCCGAATCTGTACATTAAATATTTTTGGAAAAATCTTATTGAAATAAACATTATTATCTGTCCAGAGGCCGAATCTATAGTTTTTAGAATTTTTGTCTATCTGTCTGTTACCGCATAACAGAAAAACCACTGGAGGGATTTTGATGGAATTTTGTATGGTGATAGCTCGTTATTCGGGTCGACCTATAGAATACTTTTTACCGCGGGATAATATCTTATTTCTGAGAAAAAATACAAAAACTGCAATGTAAGAGTATACTAACATGTAAAACGTAATAATTTGGCTTTTGGTCACCAGAACGCGGGCGGAGCCGCGGGCAATGTGCTAGTAAGATATATTTTTAAAAATAAATGTAAAACAAGCGGCGTTAATTTCAATATTGCGTTAAATAAAAGTAATGTTCCTGCAAGTATTATATGATCTGTGATGGTAACATATTCGAGTCGGATTATGGTAAGTTAGTCTTTTTTTTCAACCCAGAAACTTACTATCCTCAGTGCTGTAACACTCTAACGTTTTAGATTTTGCTTTTGATCATCATATATATATATATATATATATATTATCATAATATGTATGTATTTATAGCTATATATGAGTAATGTATCAGCTATCTGATATCCATAACACAAGCTTCGTAGCTTACCATGGAACTAGATGGTGCTGTGTGAATGTCCCAACATAAAAAAAATCTTACATAACAGTGCTTGTATAATAACGAGTCATATGCCTATGTACATATATTGATTATCCTGACCGATTCCTGCAACGGCGGTCAATCTCACCAAGTTTAGATAAGTGGGCAATCGTTATTATAGTGCACAATTATACGAACAAACACAAGTGCACTCTCTATTTCTTTTCGCATTAATAGTCCACTGGAACAATATCGACACGACCAGTGAGAGTTAAGGCGTGGCTGATGGCTATACATGCTCTCTTGAGTACGGGGGTGTAACACCGTCGTCTTTCCAAATCAAGGCTGCTACTAAAAATTATTAACAGTTAAACGTAGCTTGACTCGGGACTCGAACCCAGGACCTTTGAATCTGCAGCCGTATATTCTAGTCACCAGACCACTGAGGCAATATAGCGATATGTCTGTGACATAAATATTATCAGATTTTGTACCCAAACCACAAAAGATAGAGTTTACAATACCAAAATACATTTGCTTACAGCTATTATTCTACCGCTGTTAATCTCATTGTTACTTAGAGAGATGAAAACGCTAATTGTAGTTACGCCTATCTGCGGGGTTTTAATTAAGTTAACAGAACTGATAAATAACTTTATATAAACGTATTACATTAATTAGTAGGTCTCTTATTTCTCAGTAATTCTTATGTATTCTCTATTAAATTGTGAAATTAGAAAGAAATTTTAAAATTTCCATTTGACTTTGAAAAGTCAAATGGAACAGACAATAAAAAAATCCCTTAAAATGTACTTACCTGAAATTCTAGCAAAAATATCAATAGCAACATTAAAAAACGAGTTACAGTTGATTGAATCATTTTTAAGTTTGCTTAATTATAAGATTTTACTACCAAAAACTGCATTTGTGATAATATGGATATATACAAATTGTTTAGACTATAAATAAAGATGTTAGAATTTGAAACATAAAATAAAGATTAAAAGATTAAAGATTTTTATTTAACACTAGCATTGCCCGCGGCTCCGCCCGCGTTCAGATGACCAAAAACCAAATTCTTTTACATATCATTGGTTTTACATATCAGTATACTCTTACATTGCAGTTTTTGTATTTTTTCTCAGAAATGAGATATTTTCCCGCGGTAAAAAGTATCCTATATGTTGACCCGGATAAGCAGCTATCACCATACCAAATTTCATCAAAATCCCTCCAGTGGTTTTTTTTGTGATGCAGTAACAGACAGACAGACAGACAAAAATTCTAAAAACTATAGATTCGGCCTCTGTATCGATAATAACGTTTATTTCAATAAGATTTTCCAAAATATATTTAATGTACAGATTTGGCTTAATTACAATTTTATTATATGTATAGATAATGACATACATATTCAAAATTGTTAGATCGTAAGTAGCATTAGTAAGTAGTTACTAAGTAGTCGCAGCTGAAAAGTTATTAAATATGTTCAATACATGTTGATTTTTACTGATCTTTTATATTTTTAGAATAAAGTTATCTTCACAATTAATAATCCTTTAGTAAATAAATTTTTGTTTTAACTATATCCTATCGATGTGTGCAGTGCAATATATAGTATCTAATATGTGTCCAGATATAATTCAAACTACGTCCAAATAACATTCACGCTTGGACTAACTTTGAAAATTAAATTAATTCCAGTGCAATGCCCGTTAGTAAAAGCTTGTGAATTTAATATGTGATTCGATAAGGTATCAAATTATCCAAGTCGGAAATTACATGTATTCATTGTGGACATTTTGATTTATTAGCATTAACATACGACTACCCTATTCCTCTAGTTTTGTTAATTTATTTCACAATCACGACCTTCACAGTGTTACCTCCGTCATTTCTATCCACTTTTGTTCAAAAAAGACACAATATTGTTGTTTATTGTCTAAATGAAAATAATTTTTTTATGAGAAAATATTTATTTTTTATACATATTTACATGGTTATTTTACATTTTCGCTATACATTCTCTAATTAATTTTTTTATTTTTAACAAAACCGTTTTATAGATTATATAAAAAGAAACAAATATTCCTATTAGAATAATTTTACAATTAGAAATAATACATAAGCAAAATTAAGTTTGATTTTTATACATAAAAAAATTATATTTTTTACAGTTATATATTCTGTACACAAAAGCATCTTACACAAAACCTGCATATTTAAGTAATATAAAACCTAGGCAATTCTGCGATGTGCATTAAAATGCGATTACAACCTACATTTCAGAATGCGACGTACAAAAATTATTGCCTACTTATTTTAACTATTATAGATATTAGTAACTAATTTATACATATTTAATTATAATTGAATAAATTGCACCTGTCCCAAAAATTTTCTACCATGGTTCAGTTTACTCATGACATCTAGAATATAGTTTTTGAGAAAATAACAAAATTTACAATTTAAATTCGTCAATTTTTTAACCTCTTTATCATCTGAGAACTATAGTCCAGAAAGTTAGAGTTAACGTGTATACAACATTTGTGTAATTAGGTTGCGCGTCGCTGGACAGAGCACTTGCGTGGCATTCGGCTTCGTCTGCTCGAAGCTGCAGCAATGGTATGCGTCTTCCGAGCGGATCTTTGCAAGTGGCACTTCGGACAGCTCTTCTTAATTCTGCTCCAGCTTCATTTTCCTGTAGCCACCGCCTCAACCAAGCTCCCAGCCACGCCAATTCACATTCGCACCGCAGCGGGTTCCCCGTCAAAATTAAACCCCCTAAGTAATGACAACGAAACATAAGATTTATTATTTAAACGCAATTTTGCCAGCGGAAAATTTGGAAGGCAATTAAGAATTAAAACTCATTACAAAGATGAGGCTAAAGTAGAAGGTTGTTAGATCCTTATAAAGTATGTATAAAGCATAATACCCGCGTGAGCTTCAGCTTCGACTAAGATATTAATTTTTTATGCCAAATGACTTCCACTTCTGTTGGAATGACGAGATTTATGTTGATTTACATTTTCAGTATTCTAACGGTATTCACATTTTAATTTGTCTGTATAAAGTGTATTTAGAATAATATTCTATAGCACATTAACATTTATAATATATTATGGCATATTACATACTGCAATAAAATTTAATATAACATACCTGAAAGCAATTTTGTAGCTACGTGACTCCAGCTTGTGAAATTGGGATAGAAGACAGCCGGATCAAGTCTTGATATTTGATTGTAACTAACGTCGATGCCTAATTGAGGCACTTGTGAGAGATGCTTCATGAATGCCGCTGGGAGCTTAGTTATTGATGTCTCGCTAATTCGTATAAATATCTCTTGTCTATTCTTGAACGGCTCGAAAGCATCATCGGATATCCTTTTTAGACTTTTTCCTTTAATTTCTACATATCTTATTCTGCGCGAATCTATTCCATGCAGTTGCGTATCCATTATTTCGTCGTTCCAGTGTATTACCAACTTATAAAGGGAAGGAAGGCAGGACGTGATATTTGCGAGACGGAAAGTGGAATGATTTATAGTAGACCACGTTTGAACGTGCAAAGATCGCAAAGACATTAAGGGACGGAAAGAATTCTGGTCAACTGTATCTAAATATTGTAGTCCATTTAAATTTAAATAAGATAAGTTATTCAACGATTTAAAACTATTTGGCGTTAATCTTATGATAGGATTGTATGAAATATCTAGTACGTTTAAATTCTTCATATGAATCCACATTTTTGGCACTAAAGAGGTAAGTCGATTGTGGCTTAGGTCTAAGTGGCGTAGATTCACTAAACGCTTCACATCAGTCTCTTTAAAACTGTTAATGTAATTCGAAGTCAAATTGAGACTCGTCAAATTTGTCAAGGGTAAATAAGGCACTGATTTTAAACTTAAACTTGCAAGGTTCAAATGTCTCAAGTTAGGAAGGTTATGAAACAGCTCCTTAAAGTTTGCTTTGATAGAGTTAAAGCTTATATCCAATCGTCGCAGAGCCCCAAGACTCGAGAATGTGTTTTCGGATAAAACTGTCAATAAGTTGTGCCCCAAGTTCAAATTTGATAAGAATTGTGTATTGCGAAATATGTTACTATCCAAATATTCTATTCTATTGTTTGATAAGTCGAGATATCGTAAAGTAAACCCAATTTGAGAAAGCGCTGTGACTGGAAACAAAGAAACTTCATTAAAACTTAAATCTAAATGTTCAATAACTGTATTTTTAAATACGTCTCTTGGAAGTAGTCTTAAATTATTGTGGTCCATTTTCAAATATCTTAATTTACGTAAATTATAAAATTGCTCTACTGATAGTTGATGTATAGAATTAAATGACAGGTCCAGTATTTGTAAAGACATTAAATCTGTAAAAGATTTTCTCTTAATAATGCTTATACTATTTCTATGTAAGTCTAATATTTCTAAATAAACCGACTGTCCAAAAGCCTCTCCCGAAATATGAGTTATTTTATTATGAGACAATATTATTTGCCTTACTGTCGATTCAATGGCGAGAAAAAAATTATTTGGCACTTCATGAAAATTATTGTATGATCCATCAAATATATTAACAGAAATTGGAGTGTCTCCTTCTATAAGTTGTATACTATTCTTACTTATATTAAGCGTAAATGTAGTAAAAGAATTAGATACATTATAGAAAGAATAAAGCGACAAATGCGTTAAGTTGTTTCCTTGGAGTTCCAATATTTCAAGTTTTGGTAAATTAACAAATGTTTCCACTTCTATAGAATTGATTAAGTTACCAGCAAGAGATAAATATCTTAAGTTCGGTAAGTTAATAAAGCTGTTCTTAGTCAAGTTATTGATACGGTTATAAGATAAATCTAAGTTTCTTAACTCGGGTACATGTGAAAATGTTCTAGCCGGTATTGAACTCAGAAAATTATAAGATATTCTTAAATTATTTAAAGACAAAGAAACATTTGTAATTTCATCCTCTATTATTATTTCTACAATTCTATTATAATCTAAATTTAAATATTTTAAGTTTGGAAATAATGAAATTTCCGACAATTTTAATATATGAAAGTCATTGTTATCGAAGGATAACCAACTAAGATTTTCTAGTCCATCGTCTATTTCAAAAGGAAAATATCCACTAAAGATAGTTGCGGATGATTCTAAGACGTGCAGAGACCCCGTTAAGTTAGTAAATGATTGTGGATGTATATAATATAAATCATTAAAGCTCAAGTTTATCTCTTTTACTGGCATACTTACAGGAAAAACGTTTTTATATATTTGAGCTATCCTATTGCCCTTTAAATTGAGGGTGCCAAGAGAGTAAGACCAGTCACGGAATTCGTTCGGCAACAAATTAGATATCCTGTTGTAACTTAAGTCGAGATATCTAATGGAACCGGGTTCAAGAGTTTGAAGTGCAGAGGGGAGAGAAGTCAGAAAGTTGCCAGCGAGCGATAACGTCTGAATTCGGCTCGGGAGGGAGGGCGATTCTTCCAATTGATTGTAAGCTAAAGATAAATGTCGCAGTCGAACGACCTGCGCCAAACTGTCCGGCAAATGTGTCAATTTGTTGTGTTCCACTTCTAAATGCTCGAGCGAATTTTTAAGCGATATAAATACATCTCTATATATTGAATTTAATTTATTGTATGATATAGATAATCTTTCAATTCGATTATTTGTAAATAACAATCTAGGTATTGTTGTTAATTCATTTAAATCTAAAATAATTTGTCTAATTTGTATTTCCCGGAATATAAGTATTTCTGATGTGTCATTTATATTGTTATTACTTAAATCAACTTTTTCTAATTTCTTAGTCTTATTACTGATGCTCGTTGAATTAACGTCAAATTGAATAGAATTATGCCTCATGTGTAGCATTTGTAGTCTAGGAAGGTTGAAAATTAAATCACAGGATACTTCGTGTAGGAAATTATTGGATAGTTTGAGAACTGTAAGAGAGGTTGGTAAGGAGTCCGAACTTATCACACGAATATAGTTTCCTTCTAAATCCAACTGCAAAAGGTGATTCAAAGAGGTGAGAGCTTGCGATTTTAATTGAGTTATTTGATTATTACTCAAAGACAAACTTGTTAATGTATTCTCTAAATGATGCCATCTGGTATCTGGGTTGACCTCTGCTATGTAGTTGCTAAAAATATACAATACAAAATTTCAAAGTTAAATGACTAAAATTAATATATCTATAAACATAATTTTATAACTTTATAAACTTACTTTTGTAAGTTCAACCAATTAAGAACTTTTAAATCTTTTAGGCCTTGTTCAGGGATTTCGGTAAATTCGTTGTACCCCAGATCCAACGAAGCCAAGGTATTAGCCATGGAACTGAAAATAAATTTACGAAAAATAATAATATTTATTAGTCGCTAATAATAAACATGGTATTTAATTAAATAAATTATTAGTTTTACCTAAATGCATGCAATTCAATATAATGCAACCTGTTTGCGACCAGAACTAAAGTTTGTAGCCGTAGTCCGTCTAATGCACTTTCAGATATTACTTCAAGATTGGACATACTTATGTCCAAGTGTTGCAGTTCTAACCGTGGCCATTCTGAAAATAAATTTCTGTCAAATAAAATATATGGGACGAATTCAATATTTGTTGTTAGTAAGTAGTCAGCTTAAAAGAATATTGCTTCGTCGCAAAGAGTTTCGCTATTTCACTTAGTGACAATATTGACAGCCTTAAGTTTAATCTCCATTTATATAAAAGGTGACACTTTCTGTAAAAGTACATAAAGTTAAATATACCTTCTATTTTTAAGTTATTTTAAGTTATTTTTTAGTGTTTTTAGTCAGAGAGCACGACGTTCTGAGTCAGAGAAAACAGCTTCGATCTTGGCACGTTTATTTTAAAAATAGTGAAAGATGAAATCAAGTGTTGCTCGCTAAATGGTGTAAATTTTATGAAACATATTATGAAACATATTATGAAACAACGCAAAGTTAAAAAAATATTTAAAAAAGTTGAAGTTATAATTCTTTAGGCATTTTTGGAAAAAAATATGAAAATATTTTTTTTAAGAAAGCGACATGATGAAGTTAGCTGCATTCCTTTCACAAACAGAGAGTTGTGATATATGGGACTTTTTTTTTCTGTGAAATAGTTTAAGTTTTATGTCAATATATACATACATATTATGTACACTAAAGAAACTGACACCGTTAAAAGTTCAAATAATACGATACAAATAACAAAATAATAAATACATATTCAATTAAAAATACTACAAAAGAAAACTTTTAATATTTTTTCTATACATAATTATCCATTAATACATTTTTATCCATTTTTTTTTCAAATTTTATTTAAGGACGTGTTCTTTTTAGGGTTCCACAGCCAAAAGGGAAAAACGAAATCTTTATAGGTAATTTCTTCACGTCAGTCTGTTGTATATTATAGCTATTTTATTCGGAGACGGATTTGAAATGGATCTGAAATTTGGAAAGTAGGACTCTCATTTGAATTCCCAAACACTGTGTAGTCAAATGAAAAAAAAATAGAGGTGGCACTCTACACATTTAACTTAGAAGTGTAAGAAAAGTAACTCCGACTAAGCTTGTGATTTTCAATAAATACAACTTATTTATGCCATCAATAAAATATGGCTATTGTAAATGAATAAAAAGGGACTAATATTTTATTTTTCTTTGAATTTTGCAATTAACATCAAGTTGAAACATAACATAAATTTTACTTTAATAGTTACTCAAACTTCCCATTCACAACGTAAGTATCAAAATACTGGGAAATTCGAATATATTTTATGACTTGTTTCCAAGAATTTCAAAACTTTATAACTTATGAAAGTAATGGAAAATGTTAACCTCCCCAGACAGTGACCAATTGATGCATACTATAGTAGAATATGTAAAGTTGTAATTTACGTAAAATTTAAAGCTGGTTCTTTACAGATCATAATATTGTTAAATTATTTTTATGAAGGTGAAGGAAGAATTTCTCTCACGTCTTCTCCATTCTACGTGACACTGGAGAAGTAATCTATGCTCAACTAACACGGTTTGAAGCCATTAACAAGAAAATTGAATTCGCTTGAAAATTGAATTGAGACTCGCTCTTATATTAGACTTTAAATTTTAACAAAATTAAAATATTTTTAATGAAAATGGAACGTTCGAATAGTTTTATTAATTACTAACAATCACCGTTTCGTACCCGTTCTAACGTCACCAATTGTTAAATATACATTTTAGACACGATTATGTTTGATATATACGTATAAATTAATACCATATTTAATTCCTATATCAGAAACCTTCATGGACATGCCATGAATATTTTATGATCATACAAGGTCACAGGTAATAAGTAAAATTAAATTAAATTATACGTTTTAATTTAAATAAAATTCGCTTTTTATATATTTTTCCTAACAAATGTGAACGATTTCTAGATATGATATATAGATTTTCACCTGGAAACCTGTGCAATGGTACAGCGGTACATGACATATGAGCTATGCGACAAGAACAAAGAGGGCTTCCAGCGCAAGGCTCAAGACGCTCTGGTGCGAGCGCCCCAACTAGCAGACACGCTAGCGCGGTCCGCAGCGCTTGCCGCGCGCTACCATCTCCCAACACCATCACTGTAACAAGTACATTATTGTTAAAAAAATACGGACTACGACGTAGACGAAAGTGTGTGTGTATTTGTTTGTTACTTCTTGAAGCTGAAAGGGCTTGACGGATTTGGATGAAATTTAGTATACCACTGTAGGCACCCAGGGACGAACGTGAGCAAAGAGAGCATAAGATGAATACATATGTTGTATGTTATGTGGGACTTACTGGCTAAGCAAGCCACTAAAACCCAACGGAACCTCTTCCGTTTTCATGGGGTATCGCAGGATTGCTTATGCGCTCAACCACGAGACCCCAATGGCAGGCCTTCTGAATCAGACCACAAAAACCTGGGTACACTAGAGAAGTACCAAAAGCATCCCACATGTACATCGCCCCAATGTGTCTCTTGGCTTCACGCCCGGCTGGATTGCCGGACGCTAATGAACTTCCCTCCACGACAATATGAACACACATCGAGTCGGATCTTAATAATTCACCTGAATAACTTTCTAGATAGTGGCAAATATTTGAACGGCTATTTTGCCGATAGTTTAATTGGATTCTTAAATACTATAAAAAATTAGTAAACAGTAGTATTGCGAGTGGACAAACTATGTTAATTCGGTATCTGGCGATAAAAATATTGAAATTGATGAGCCTTCCAACAAAAATGTCCGTTGACAGTTAAAGCCTCTACCACGTTCGTGCATTTACCGATTTTTTTTTGTTTTAAAATTTCTTTATTTAATCCACATAAATTATTAAATTAAGTACATTTCTATAGTAAATTTAATCATAGAAGTACATATTAAATACTATTATATTTGTTTAACAAGTACACAGACTTATATAAAACTTAGAGCAAAAGGTAATATGTGCATATAAATAATTTTTATTAATGATTGAACAGTATATCATTTTAAGTATGTAGGCTTTAGAAAAGCGATTACAATTATATCATAATTTTATACAAAGAAAAATAAACCGTGGTCAGTAGATGTAAATAAAATACCAACTAAAAGCAGTCAGCAGTAAGCAACAAGAACGTAACATGTTATCTATCGCAAACGCAGGCGTTTACCGATTGCTTAATATTTAGTAGGACACGGCCAAAAGTTTTAATAAACTATAATATACAGGGTCATTTTTAATTTACTGAAAACCTTTTGGGAATATACTATTTACATCATAACCACAACATCTGTAACCAGAAATAATAATATTCTTAAATTTTTATTTTCATACAAAAATAAAAATATTTTTTTTGCACCTTCTAAACTTTAAAGTTCTAGCATCTGGCCAAGTTAAAATGAGTAAGCGTGGCTTCCTACATAACTTCACCCCTCCCCCTCCACCCCTCCCCCTCCACCGGACACGCACTTTCTTTTGCTAATGTTGGACTATTAACGTTGAGAAGGCGCAATAAAAATATTTTTATTTTTGTTAAATTTAAGATATATTATATTTTTTTTCTTACAGATGTTGTTGTTATGTTGTAAATAGTGTATTCCCAAAAGGTTTTCAGTAAATTAAAAATGACCCTGTATAGCATTAATGCTAGAAAATAATAGGTATCTTTAAAAACATACAACTAAGTACTTTGTTACAAATAATCAGATAATTAAAACTATCATTTCTAATCTCTATATTTGTTATATGTGCATAATTTTTCTTTCAATATATCATCAGAGTCGAGTCAAATCTGTACTTAACTAGACGTCATAGAGTAGACAGTGAGTGGGACACGTGAACATATCTATTATTTATTATGAAGTAAAAAAGTACTATATATTTAAAATTATTGAAGTCTCGGCATACCGAGTGTTATTCGTTAATTAATAATAGCGTGATTCAAAATTGTCTGAGTAATATTGAATCGATATGTGGAAAGAAATAATTAGTATACAGCGTGTATTAACAATGTGGTTGATAGCTATTGTATAACATTTTCTTCAGGCTGCTTTATTTGTGGGGACTAACTGAGATATATCTGATATTTCATCATTATTTATATAAAATTATGGTTCTTCTATATGATAAAATAATTGGATTCGGTTTGTGTCATTACTATAATTTTTTTACTATCGATTTGATACTTTCTTAGATTTACGCAAATATTTAAGATTTATATATATTCATCAAAATGTGTCATCATCAGATAGATAGACAGACAAAAATTCTAAAAACTATACATTCGGCCTCTGTATCGATAATAATGACTATTTCAATAAGATTTTTCAAAAAATATCTAATGTACAAATTCCGCTTAGTTACAATTTTATTATATGTATAGATATAAAGGTAGCGCCCCTATATGACATTTTCGTACTAACAATGGCCTTAGTTACCCCATCTTTAGGCCATCTTTGTACTAAAACTCCAAATTCATCCAATCCTTTCACGTAGACCAACTTTTGGCAATTAAAATAATAGCCCGATACTGATACTAACTATAAAATAAATATTTGCGAAAGATTCAGTGTATAGATTTCATATTTCATAACCAAACAAGATGCCATTTTGTACTACAATATAGTTTTTTTTTAATATAACTCCAAATTTTGTATAAAGTAGTACCTACCGTAGTATTGTTACAAAAATTGTAGCAATGAGGTGAAAATGAAAAGCTAAAAGGCTAAGAAGAAAAAGAAACCTTACGCTGAAGACTACAACGTAAGAAGTTTGCTGTTCAAAGAAACAAGTTAGTACAAGTCTCTGAATTGACTAAGGCTTACAAACTAGAACAAGAGTATATTTTAGAGAATAAAGAAAGGTTAAAATTAGCGCGTAGAAATGTCAACCTATTTACATTTTGGGAAAGACAAACAACAGTTTCTCCTTATTCGTGAAATAAATACCAAGTGAAGTTTGACAATAAATTTTATATTTCACTGTTATAATTTATTTTAAGCAGAATACTTTCGTTAGAGAAATCTTAATATTTGTAACTTTAATATGAAATAAATTATAAGACTATAAGAAAAATATTGAATTAAAGGTGTCTACATTTATTCAAAACTAGCGAATCACCCTCGCTTCGCTCGGGTTCGTCCCTAGCTTGATTCCCTATACAAACTTTCATCCCCATTTTCTACACCTTAAGGGATGATTTTCGGGATAAAAAGTATCCTATGTCCTTCCCAGGCTCTCAAACTATCTTCTTACCAAATTTGATCTGAATCGGTTCAGTAATTCTAGAGATTACCCCCTACAACGTCACAAACTCACAAACTTTACCTCTTTATAATATTAGTATAGAAGACAAATTAAAAATAAATCTTAGACTTTTTGGTACGATTGATAAAATCAATTCTAAAGTATACCACCCTCTGGGTGAAATTTTACTTCAAACTTATATCGGGCTACCATTAATTATGACCTTTTTAATAAAAATGTTCACAATGGGTAGCTATCACGTAACACATACAAAACTTCCCTTTTTTAAAGTCAGTTAAAACATATAAGATATTGTGGATGGTAATTTATTATGTATTCGGTTTTTATTTTAATGTCTAATTTATTTATAATTTAATATTGATTAGGATTTTTTGATTCCATGTATCTTTTTTTAAACCTAACTTTGCATTGTTAACCGACTTCCAAAAAGGAGGAGGTTCTCAATTCGTCAGAATCTTTGTTTTTTTTACTTGTCTCCTGCAATTTTAATTACTCTCAGTAAGACTACCCGCCGTGGAAATCTTTTATAAATAAATAGCGTAAGAAGATCAGCTCAAACGCAAAACGATAGCAATAAAATAAATAAATAAATATTTTGGGACATTATCACACAACACCATCTGGTTCCATGGTAAGCTACTGGGCCTGTGTTATGGATACCAGATAGTTGATACACTACACATATATAACTTTTAAATATAAACACCCATGACTGGAGTAGAAACATTCGTGCTCAACACACAAATGAAAGCCCCCAGCGGGATTCGAACCCGCGACCGCTGGCACAGCAAGTAGGGTCACTACAAACTGAGCGTCGTCGTATAAAAATATAAAAAAATGCGTTTATCATGATACTGTTTTAGTTAAATTTTTAATTATATTTAAGTGTTAACTTTAGTTTATAGGCAATTTAAACTTGTTGCATTCATAATATCCTAGATCAAAGCAATCCTTTATGATGCAATATATCACCACAATTCAGAATTCGATGCAATAGGGATTGAAATGTAAAATTATGATAATATATTCATGGCTACCAGTGTGTATAGCAAGTGTATTATTATATTATATTTCAATAATATTATTACATAATAGCGACTCACCCTTGCTCCGCTCGGGATCGTCCCTACTTGGTTTTAATTTAGTTATATATTTAGTATAGATTTCTCAGAAATGAGATATTTTCTCGCAGTAAAAAGTATCTTGAATGTTCACCTGGATAACCAGCTATCATCATACCAAATTTCATCAAAATCCCTCCAGTTGTTTTTCCGTGATGGGGTAACAGACAGACAGACAGAAAAAATACTAAAATCTATACATTCGGCCTCTGTATCGATAGTAATATCTATTTCAATAACATTTTCCAAGAAATATATATAATTACTAGTGTTCCATTGGCCTCCGTACTTGTAAGTTTTCACATCATTAGGTTATTAGTTCTATGTACACTCCCTTAGAATATTCATTATAAAATCTCCATTAAGTGTTTTTTTAATGGTTACGCGAATGATTATGTTAAATAATTATATATCAGGTTTCACTTTTTTTTTTCTTGAGTAGTCTTGTTATAATTTTTACCAATTACGAACAACAGTAGCGGTAACCAGTTATGTGTATATTTTTATATTGTAATGTTTTCCTCAGCTGTCATTACCGTGCATTCGGATACTTGCAGTACACTGTACATGTATCAAATGACATAGCTTAAATTCTTAAAATATTTGTTCTAATATATTTTTCTTATTTTTATTTTTTATGATGTTTCGTTAAAAACAAGTTAGGCCAGCTAATGTAGGATAATTATTATGTTTAAGTTTTGTAAAGTATACATTTTTTGTTGTTA